CTGATCTTTGAAATTTTCTGTTCAGCTCTTGTACCTCCTCATTTCTTCCATTTGTTTTAGCATCTCTACGCTGTAGAGCAAGTTTCAGTGTCTCTTCTGACATCCATTTTGATCTTTTCCTTTTTTCTTGTCTTATTGATTACTTTTTGCTTTCTTCATGTATGATGTTCTTGATGTCATCCCACAACTCTTCTGGTTTTCAGTTTTTAGTGTTTAATGTATCAAATTTTTATTCCATCAATTCCTGGAGCCTTGTTCTTTGCCAATTCCTTCAATGCACCTTGGACTTCTGTGCATTCAGGTAGGATATATTCAGGTAGATGATCTGTAGATTCAGGTAGGATATATTCAAGGTCATATTTTGACTCCTGTGCACTTGTTTTCATTTTCTTCAGCTTCAGTTTGAATTTGCGTATGAGCAATTGATGGCCTGTTCCACAATCTGCCCCTGGCCTTATTTTGATTGATGATGTAGAGCTTTTCCATTGTCTCCTTCTGTAGACGTAGTCAATTTGATTTCTATGCATTCCATCTGGTGAGGTCCATGACTCTTATGCCGTCTAAAGAAGGTATTTGAAATGAACAAATCATTGATTTTGCAGAATTCTATCATGCAATCTCCAGCATCGTTTCTATCACCAAGGCCAGATTTTCCAACTACTGATCCTTCCTCTTTGTTCCCAACCGTTGCATTCCAATCACCAGTAATGATCAATACATCTTGATTGCATGTTTGACCAATTTCAGATTGAAGAAGTTGATAGAATTCTTCTATTTCATCCTCTCTGGCTTTATTGGTGGGTGCATAGATTTCAATAATAGTGGTATTATCCTATCACAGACAGCGTTGTACCTCATGACTGATCTGGATATGTTCTTTTTGACAACGAGCGCAAAACCATTCCTCTTCAATTTGTCATTCCCAACATAGTAAACCATGTGGCTGTCAGATTCAAAATGGCCAATACCAGTCCATTTCAGCTCACTAATGCCCAAGATATCCATGTTTATGCGTTCCATTTCCTTTTTGACAATTTCTAATGTTCCTAGATTCATACTTTGTACATTCCATGTTCCGATTATCAGTGGATGTTTACAGCTTCTCTTCATTTTCAGTTGTGCCCCATCAGGAAATGAAGGTCCTGAGGGCTTTTCTCCCTCTGGGCTTTACTCCATTTATGTTATCACAGTCAACTTTACTTTGAGGAGGCAGCTCCTCCTCAGTCGCATTTTGAGTGCTTTCCAACCTGAGGGGCTCATTTTCCACCACTATATCTGACAGTGTTTCTCTGCTATTCATAAGGTTTTCAGTGACTAAATATTCAGAAGTAGTTCGTCACTTCTTCTTCCTAGTCTGTCTTCGTCTGGAAGCTCATCTGAAACTTGTCCACCATGGGCAACCCTGTTGGTATTTCAGATACCCGTGGCATAGCTTCCAGAATCACAGCAACTCACAAGCCACCACAGTACGGCACACTGACAGACAAGTGGTGGTTCACAGTGTGGTTAAAAAAAACCCCAATAATACAAAAATCCATTGCCACCAGACTGGATTGGCTAGAAGAACAGGAAAAATACAAAACAATATAGGCAGACTGACTGATTAATAAAAGAACAAGCAAGTTGCTTGCCCAGGAGACATCAAGGCAAGTGGTCAGGTCCCCTCAGAGCAAACACCCTTCCAAGGCTAAAACTCAATGGGAATACACGCTCTGATTGGTGGCCACATTCATCACCAATAAGGGGCAGTCAGGGAAAAACAGCAATGATGCTGCAAGCTAAGCCCTACAACGTTCAATAGATTCCAGTGAACCCAGGTTGAGACTTGGTAGGCCAGCAGTGTGGCAAGTTCTGGGGACTCTTGGGCCCAGAATGAGTGACATAGCCACAGAGGACTAGAGTGGAGAGTGAAGTGTCCAGCTGATAAGAAGAGAGGGCATATGCACAAGAACACCCTTGCAGATAATACCACTTGATCTGGCTTCAATAACTGCATGATCAGAGCTCAACTAGAAGAAGAAAGAAGAGGAAAAAAAGAGTAATCTGATACAATTTGAATGAACTTGACCTACACCTATGGA